CCCAGCCCGGCACCATCCGCTCGTAAACGTCACCACAGCAGACGCGGGGGGCGGGGACTAGCAAGTGGATCACGTGGCTGAGGGGCGGGGCTTGGCTCTACCTCGCGTCACCGGTCCCGGATGTCGCCGCCCCGCACCCTCCTCGTTGCTCGGTCACCGTGGGCCGGAAGCTCCGCAACCTCTTCTGGTTGCTGGGCAACGGGGGGGCAGGAAGTCCCGCCCGCCGAGCTGTTGTTGTTGTGACTGCGACAGGCCCGGTCGCCCCCGGAGTAGCCCCGGCAGCGCCCCCGGGCCGCCGCGACCCAGGCTCCGGCTCCTGGCCCCGCGCCGCCATGAAGTGGATGTTCAAGGAGGACCACGCGCTAGGTAAGGCCAGACACCCCGCGCCCCCCGGGAGGCTCCCCGGCCGCCCGGCCCCCGCACTAATGCCGCGCGTTGTTCGCAGAGCACCGATGCGTCGAGTCGGCGAAGATCCGGGCCAAGTACCCAGACCGCGTCCCGGTAAGTGAGCGCGGCCCTCTGCCCGGCCTTCCCCCGCCCCGGCCTGGCCACTGCGTCGCGGGGCTCCGCCCTCCGCATCCCGCCCTGCCCCACGAACGCCGCCGAGCGGGTGATAAGTGGTCGGCCCGGCCCCTCCAGCTGCGTCAAGGGCAGGCGCCCGTGCCCCCCGCCTTGTGCCCCTGCCAGCGGCAGACCCCGTTGCCCCGGCGAGCACCGTGAGGGACCGAATCCCTTTGCCCGTCTGACTGCTGCCCACCATAGCCCTTCCTCATGTATGAAGCAGCAGCCGGTGACCCCCCTGCGGCTCCAGCCTGTTGAGAGCTGGGCCCCTCCATCCTGCCTGGCGGCAGCATCTCCTCCATCCAGCTGTTCTGGCAAGACCCTCCTATCCCAGCCCATCTCCATTCTCCCCTGCCTCCTACTCCGTTGAACTCAGCGCCCCACTTTCATTGCCTCCTGGTGTGCGGCGCCTAGCAGGCTGACCAGCTTTTTGCTGGTGATCAACACATTTCGATAGGTGTCATTTTCCCTGGCTCTCTAATCGAGGTTCAATCCTAGCCCGTTACCAGCTTCTAGTAATGCACCTGTGGGAAAAGAAAACATCTGAGATGAGGCTAACAATACCCTGCCACCTCCTGTGGATGGATACTTGTGTGAGTGGATGGAGGGAATCGCGACCAAGGTGCACTGACGGGTACAGTTTTGTTGGGTATCATCAGTGGGAGTTCAGGTGTCTAGATGCAGTCCTAAATCTCAGATGCACAGAGTCCGTCTTAGGGAGGAGGAGTGACATGCTGCTTGTTTCTTGTAGGCTTCAGGTTTGTCTCTTAGGCCTTCTCTATGCTTGTAAAACAAGCCCTTAGCTTGGTGCCGTGAGACAGGGATGCAGGGAAGAGAGCGCTGGGTTGGAACTGAGGACATGTGGGTTTTGATTCCAGGCAGGTTTTTTAACCTGATGGTAGCTGCAGTGGGGTTCACTCCACAGTCGCTTTCACCAGGGATTATTTTCCTAATGGGTGCAGCTGCCATAACTTGACAGTACCAGTTTAACCAAATGAACCATAACTATCTTCAGTGGGCGATCCTAGCCTGATCCCAGCTGACTTCCAGTGATCAGATATCCTCCTCTTTCACTTGCATTCATGTCTGCAGTTCAGGAATCTGTCCCAGCAATGGAAGGTACATCTGTGTGGCTGTTCTCAACGTGGCTAATAAGCTCATGTAGAGTGTCCTGCAAAAGGTAACTATATGCTGGTACCTGACCTTACTCATCCACAGCTAGCCTGGTATCTCTGCACAGCATGACATTGTGCCTTGCAGATATAGCCATAGCTTGAAGTTGTGCATTAAGCTGAATCCCTGCTTCCTTGTCGCAAGGGATAGTGTCATACATCTCTGGGGACTGAGGTGCAGGATTGCCAGACCACATAGATTTGTCTTTGGCTGTAAATCCAAGGAAGAATGGCTTCTCCTATGACTTATAAGGAATAAGACACTGCAGGACAGTTGCGAGGTTCTGCTCTGAAGATGTGGCTAGAATGAGCCCCAGCAGCAGGTGTCTCCAAGTGAGATAGTGTTTGTACAGTGAGCCTACTCCTACTCCAGAGAGACCTGTTGTAACTAAAGAAATCAGCCTTTTTTCAAGAGCCTTTCCAAATACCATTTTGTATCACTAGGAATAAAAACAATAAATAGATTTTATTGCAACTTAATTTTTAAATTTAAATGAGAAATCTACTTGAATTGATTTTTTAATAGATCTGCTAAAATTCTGACAACCTATTTTAAAGCCTGGTTTTATAACAAACTCACTCTGCGTGACTGACTGACTGACTCTCTCTCACATGCACACTCATACACATGTGTTGATATGCGGGAGTGTGTACCGGCAAAATTTTTAATAAATCATAAAATCTGGTTGCAGGTGGTTATTCCAGTGGTTTGAAGTACTAATACTCCTGACAGCAGTACTTTTTTCTGTAGATGCAGGGAAGCTATTTTCTTCATTTCAGTTTATTCAACTAGTTGAGTGCAATGACTGGCGCATTCCATTTTTAAAAAACATAGTACTTGAAAAAGAAGGAAAGTTTGTTTTCTTCTTCCAATCTATAAATAAGCGACATGTGAAAAGATAAGATCTACTAGTCCTAAAATTCTAAAGCCATGGTGACCAGAAACACTCAGTTTCATAGTTTCTAGGGTTGGAAGGGACCTTAGCAGATCATCTAGTCCGACCCCCTGCCATGGCAGGAAAGAGTACTGGGGTCAAACAACCCCAGCAAGGTGCTCGTCTAACCTTCTCTTAAAAACCCCCAGGGTAGGAGCCTGCACCACCTCTCTTGGAAGTTGGTTCCAGACCCTAGCCGCCCTGACCGTGAAGTAGCGCCTTCTGATGTCTGACTTAAACCTACTCTCTGCCAGCTTGTGACCGTTGTTCCTGGTCACTCCTGGCTGTGCTCGGGGGAACAGGGACTCCCCCAGTGCCTTCTGATGCCCCCTGACCAGTTTGTAACAGGCCACAAGATCCCCCCTCAGCCTTCTCTTTTGGAGGCTGAACAGGTTCAGGTCCCGTAGCCTCTCCTCATAGGGCCTGCCCTGCTGTCCCCTGATCGTGCGAGTGGCCCTCCTCTGGACCCTCTC